GACTCGTCTAAGAAAGCCCATTTCAGCAGCTTGTACCCGGGTTCGAAGTTTTTCAGTGATGGTCCACTATACATGACCGTAGGCAAGTACGGGGATAAAGATCGACTTGAATATTGAGAGCTTAGTTTTCAGACTGAGCGCTGCCTTATTTTTATACAAAATAAAACATTTTTATTTTGTATAAATTTCACGTATGTTCACCTTACACAGCTTCATGCCAAATGTTCAGACGGAGTATATGAGTCCTTCGTGGAAAAAGTAGACGGTGCTCTCTGTGAAATGCTAATTGTCGAATGTATCGTTCTAATGGGCGATTCAATGTTCATGCTGCAGCAGGCACTGAAAGGTGGAAAAGTTTGGTACGACGACTGAATCGAACAGTTCCTTCTTCGACCGCTTAGTCAGCTCACTCTAAAGATACAATGCCAATGACGTCCAAATACGGTTGCATTGTGACTTCTTCGAATTCTTCACTATTCGCCCTAGACGAAGCCCTCTGTGCTGTGGATGGCTCGCATCAATTTCGTTTTGGAGTGAATAACCTAGAGACTGATGGCGAGAAATTCTTGCAGCTGCTAGACCTTTCGCCGTCTTGTGCGAAAACGATGCAGTCGTCTGAAAATAACAACTGCGTCTGCAGCTCTCCATCAACATTGGTGACTATGCGTTTATGTTTAGCTGATTGTAGAGAGATTCAAAGGAAGGAAGCGGCCAAAAGCCATGATGAAAGGGTATTTCGTTGGCACTCTCTTCCACCGATTTTCATGCAACATGATTCGCTGAACAGCTTGACATCAATGATGCCATCAGTGTTCAATTCCTTAATTAGGCTGACACAAACAGGTGTCATGCCAGGCGTTTAGCACAGTCGTGAATTCTACCAAATCGAACGCCTTACTGTAGTAAGTGAAGGCAGTGCAGAGTATCATTTGATATTCGTCGCACTTCTCCGTCAGTTGAATGACACGTACTTGGTCGATAATAGAAAACCCTATTCGAAAACCGATCTGCTCCTGCCATGGGATCAGTTCGAGATCCTACGAACGAAGTTGAGAATGATCATGTAAAGACACTGTGGATTGAGACAGGAGTGTAATTTGGGTCGATAGTTTCTGAGGTTTTTCAAGTCGTTTTTCTTCAGGAAAAGAATCGTTCTTGAGGATTTCCGGACAATTCTTATGGGGGTCTTGCTTTACCTTATATATTCGGTAAAACATTTGATAAATGCCTGAAATGAGAATGTTAAAAGTACTGTTACGTGTTTTGGTCTTATGTTATCTTTGCATGGGCTTTTGCCATTTCTCACATGTCTAATTTCACACCCAACTTCATCCCATGTGACTTCAAAAGCGACCTCTAGGGCAACGTGCAGAAATTTCCAATTCACTTCTCACTGGATGAGTACAGGATGTTGCAGAACTTTGTGCAATATTTGTGATCAACAATTTTTGGCCCTCCCTCGTCTTTCATCTAACTCAGAATTCTCCTTTTAAGCGACTGTCTCGTTCTGCGGCAAGAACTT